CCGTGAGCGGCGTGGCCAAAAAAGAAAAAAAAAATCTTTAATAAAGAACTTAGTTATTTTTACTCCTGGCTAACTTTGACTCTGTTTTTGGTAACTTTTTTTTCCTTTGAGAAGTTTTAAGTGTTTATGTACTCAAATTTACAGTTTTTCCCCATTGGCTTCTGGGCATTTTGTAATGGCAGAAACAATTAAACAATAGCTTAAAATTTATCTATATTTACTTGTACTATTTTCATGACTATTTTGCACTTAAATCTTTGTTTCAACTGGAATTTATTTTGATGTAAGTAGTAAAGTAGGGAACTGCATTTGTCAGATTAATTAATGCTACCTGCTATATTAAATAACCCTAAAATCTTTGTGGCATAACATTAATAAAAATTTCTTTCTTGCTCACACAGAGTCCAAACCAGAAAATGACAGACTTCATTTGAACTTCAAATGGGCAATCCATGCTCTTATCTCTTATTAATTATTCTTCAAGTGGGTATGTAATCTAGTCTTTTTTGCTTTAAGTTCAATTTCACATTAGATTAGGGCCTAGGGTGGAACGAGGTTCAGTTTCTGAGCAAAATAAAACCAGAATGGTCCCTTCCTTTCTTTTTCTCTCTTTCTTTCTTTTCTTAAATATTTATTTATTTATTTATTTATTTATTTATTTATTTGGTTGTGCCGGGTCTTTGTTGTGGCAGGTGGGCTCCTTAGTTGTGGCTCGCTGGCTCTTTAGTTGTGCCATGGGAACTTTTAGTTGCAGCATGCATGTGGGATCTAGTTCCCTGACCAGGGATTGAACCCAGGCCCCCTGCATTGGGAGCATGGAGTCTTCACCACTGCGTCACCAGAGAAGTCCCTGGTATGGTTTCTTTCTTCCTTCATCCTGGGTTGCCTATCTCATAGGGACTCTACAATATCAAGACAACTAAACTCAACAGTTTGGTTTAATGTAATTTTCTTTTATATTAATTCTTATACTCAAAGTCTGATAATATATTGTGATTAAAAAAATCAAAGATACCTATAGAACAAAAGTTGAAATATTTTAAATTATGTCTCCAGAGACTTTTATCAGCTATTTATAAAACAGGGCACAATTTGTTTTGGAAACTGTTGGTTAAAATATTAGAAGTTATTTTAGACTTTCTAAATCTCTGTTTCTTGAGGAAGAAAAACTCCTATAGTCTCTATTTAGTCAAGTTAAAATTATTTTCAAGTGAACAACTTTGAGAAGATGTAAAATGATGATGGCATGTTTCCATATCACATTTCATGAAGACAACTCAAACTAAATATAGTGCCACAAAATTGATCGAAATCTTAAGTTCTTAGTGTTCCAGTAGTTGTGTGTACAAAGTTTCATTATGTGTGTATTTAATTATATTTTTAAGGAATATTTTCCTATTTAATTTATAATTTTACAAAATTAGAAATACTTTTCAACATAGAAAATTTGTAAAACATAGAAAACATGAAGAAAAATAATCATTCATAATGCAATTGCCTGAAGATAACCACTGTTAACATTTTGGTAAACGTCTTTATATTTTCATGCAATATATGTATATATTTTCTGTACAAAATTGATTCCATATACAGTATTTGACAGTCTTCCTTTTATAGTTACATTATAGACATTTACTCATATAAATAATATTCCTCTAAAACTTTATCTCTAACAGCTGTGGAATATCCATGGTTTAGTTTTTAAAAAATGAAAATACTTTTTTTTTCCTGAGAATCAAGTGATATGCTCATTCCAAAAAATTTAGACAGTGCAAAAAAATAATAAAATTTATGTCAACCATAAGTCCACCTTCTAGGAATATACAACTATTAATACGAATTTCCAAGCCATATATATATGTATTGAACCCGTGCCCTCCCGCAGTAGAAGCGCAGAGTCCTAACCACTGGACCACCAGGGAAGTCCTGCACACACATTATTTTAAAGGTGGTTATGTTTGCTGTTTTGTGACTTTTCCTTTCTTTAAAAATTTTACTTATTTCCCAGTTTTATTGAGATATAATTGACATTCTTTTCCTTTTAATAATGAATGTCTTTTCAAGATGATGAATATAGATCTATAACAAAATTTTAAAATTTGTGTAATATTCTATTACGAATATAACATGGGGGCAGCAAACAGGGTCAGGAGGTAGGCTTTGAAAATGGAAATGTGGGGGACTTAAATCTAGTTCTGCTAACTTAAAACTTATGAGGTCTTAGGTAAATGACTGGTTGTGAGACAGGCTGGGACCTGGGACCCTTTGCTGGGACCTGGGCCCCTTTGCTGCAGTGCTTGCACCTGGACACACTGCTCCTTGAGCAACAAAATACAAAGAAAGTCTATGGGACTAAAAATAACTGCATGCATGCACAGTTAGGGCAAATCCTGGACAAAAGATACAGAGACCAAAATCCCAACTAACGCTTTTGAAGAGCTTGGAGCAAAAGCAGGGTACTGAGCATGCCCCATACACCACCTAAGGGGTGGGCAAACCACCTAAGGCACCCCTCTGGCCTGAGCCCTGGACACACCCCTACCCTCACCCCATATAAAGAACAAGCTTGCCTCCCAGTCTCCTCAGGGAATGAGCAAACAAGGGAATGTGTTGTTTGTTCTCCATCCCCCTTGCTGCAGCAGGGGCCCCAATAAAGCCTTGCCTGAGTTTCTTTTCTGACCTCTTATCAATTTCTGTTGATTAAGGAGGCCAAGAACCCTGGTTGGTAACAGTTGCTGCAAATCTCAATTGCTTAATGGAAATCATAGGGTCTACCTAGCAGGAGTAGTAAAGTGTTGGTGGGAAGGGGTTTGGTGGGGGGAGAGGGGGTTGTCCAAACTCAAAATGTTTTTAGCATTCAAGGCCTGAAGAGGACCAATCTTTATTCTTCAAAGTTCAGATAATTTGGCCTTGGTCCAAATGTAACTTTCACAGCCCTACCCAAAGTCACTCACATTGAGAAACAAATGCGAAGGCCAAGGAAGGAAGAAGAAAGGAAGGAAGGGGAGGGAGGAAGGAAGGAAGATCTGTAAAACAAAGTAGGACACTCATACATTGCTGGTGGGAGTGCAAATGGTGTGGCTGCTTTGGAAAAGAGTCTGGCAATTCCTCAAAAGCTTAAACATGGAGTTGCCACGAGTTAGCAATTCCAATTCCAAGTGTATACCCAAGAGCAGTTAAAAGATCTGTCTATAAAATAACTTGTGTTGGAATCTTCATATCGGCATTATTCCTAACAGCTAAAAAAGTGGAAACGAACCAACTGTCCATCAACAGATGAATGAATAAGTAAAATGATGTGGTATATCATACAACGGTATTTTTGATAATAAAAAGGAATGAATAGTGGTATATGCTACAACATGGCTGACTCTTGAAAATACTGTTAACTGAAAGAAGCTAGTCATAAAAGACCACATATTATATGATTCCATTTGTATGAAATGTCTAGACTAGGCAAATCTATAGAGACAAAAAGCAGACTAGCGGTTGCCTAGGGCTTTGGGAGTTGGGGTGAAATGGGGAGTGACTATCAACAGGTAAAAGGGTTTTTTGGGGGAGTGGTGAAAATGTTCTCAAATTGATTGTGGAGATGATTGCACAACTCTGTGAATATACTAAAAACCATTGAACTGTACGCCGTAAATGGATGAATTGTATGGTGCGTGAATTATATCTCAATAAAGCTGTTGGAAAAAAAGCAAACTAGGGCATTATAGTTCTGAAGGATCATAATAAGATGGTATATAAAGTGTTGGACACGTGAATCCCTTAGTAAATGGTGGCTATTACTCATTGACGGGTTAGTGTGTTTGCGTTTTCCTCACAATGATGAACATTTTATAAAGAACATTCTGTACATAGCAATATGGTGCACTTTTGAAGCCTCCATTTCCTTTCCTAAACTTTGGAGATGTAGAAGTGCTGATGGAACGTTACGTACATTTTTAAAGGACACTCCCCCCCCCCCCCCCCCCCCTGTGGGCATTCCTTTGAGGCGGTAGAGTGCCAGCAAAGCATCCTTTTCCAGAGTTTTTCTGTCAAAACGGTAAGACAACACACAGAAAAGAATACTTCCACTATTATTTCCAAAGGTCTTGCTTTGGGAAACACTTTTATTGTTAAAACAAATATTCAAAGTATCTCAAATCATAATGCTTACGGTATTGCTGCAGGTTCTGGTAGAACAGCCAAATTGGTTCTGCTCTTATCCTGTTTCTGGAAGTTCGCGTGCACTGCAGCAGGGGAAAACTTGCTCTCTCTCTCTCGTTTCCCTGATTACCTTCTAACAATGATACTACCCCCTACATTTTGCTGCGGCTTGTAAACACAGCTAAGTTGAACTGGACGTAATTAGTTTGACTTTTTAAACAGCTAAAGTGGTAACCGGTGAGGAGAGAGCTGGGCCGAACTGTGTGGAGTAAGGAGGAGGCCACCGATTTTTTTTAAGACCGAGGCGAGAGAATTTAGCGCCCACAGTATATCCATTTTTAGGCTCCCTCTTTCCCCCAAAGTTTGTGCCAATGGGCGTCTGAAGCCCCCAGAGTGGGGGCTTCTCTGGGTGGGGAAGCTACTTCAGGGTTACCAGCACCTCAAGGAAGTTTCAGGGCAGGATGCCCGAAACCGGCAGAACGCAGAAGCGTGGGACAGGCGGCGCCCGCCGGGCCAGTTTAGTCCCGGCTGGCTGGAGGCCCGCACAGGCTGGGGCTGGTAAGCTGCGGGCACTGGGCGGCGGGGACGTAGGGGCGGGTCAACAAGGTCAGGCGATTGTGTCGGGAGGCGAACAGGACGTTGCGGCGGCGGGCGGAGCCGGGGGCTAGTGATGTAACGAGCGGGGGGATCCCACTGGGAGAATCAGGATTGCGCGGTGAGACCCCAGGGGTGTGGGGCGGGGAATCCCAGTCCCCGCCCCGTTTTCCCCGTCCCTCCCCCTGCCTCCTTCACGCCCCTCCCCCTCCTCCTCTCTGGTTGGAAAGTTTCTAGAACCTCTTCCCAGCGGCCTTTGCGGTTCCAACATGGCGGAGCTGACGGTGGAGGTTCGCGGCTCCAACGGGGCTTTCTACAAGGTACCGACCCTTTTGCCGCCTTGTCGGGTCTTCTGGGGGCTGGGGCCGGTTTGAGGGAGGGTTGGAGGTCCTGGAGAGTGAGGTTTGGGGTCGAAAAGGGTGGCTAGGCTAAAGCCCGAGGCCGCTAGGTTCATCGCTTCTCCCCCCTCCACCCGCGGTTTAACGGTCTCGGGGGCCCGGGCTCCGTTATGTTTTGAAACAACACGTCGGATATCTTTTGCGTATTCCTGTTTATGAATCTTCTTCTTGGATGCTCGTGTGGCCCTTGGCGGGCCGGTGAGGAGAAGCCGAATGGCGGCAGGGAGCTCCCTGGGAGCAGGCCCGAGCTCCGGGAGGTTGGGGGCAGTCGTGAAAGGAGGTGGTGGGATTGTGTGGTCACAGCCGCTCCCCCGCCTCTCGGACTGGGCCGAGCGGGAGCGCCTCGGCCCGCTGCTCCGACCCCTCCCCACCCCCTTGGGGGGGGCGCCTCGCGGAATCTTAGGAATTCACCTTTGTACTAGGGTTTCGGGCTAATAAACTTCAGTGTCTGAAGGGGGAGCGGGTGCCGGATTGAGGGTTAGGATCGAAGAGAAAACTAGAAAATCTTGAAATGTGGCGGGTAGAAATATTTTTTGCGGCCTGGGAAATTGGGCGGCGCCTTAGCTCCTCTATTACGGAAGAAAAGGCGAGAGTTCTAGGCTTTAATTTTTAAAATGTGAAATGGATTAAGGAGACACAGGTGGGGAGGTGACTAGTTTCTTTATCGGTTATCCAGTGTTTTGGGAAGGTGTTGACCCCCCCCCCACCCGAGGTTTTTTGTTTCCATCGGATGGAAGGAGGGGCATTACTGTGGGATCGGATCTGGAAGACGGAAGAGGAATTCGAGAATAGAGGAATTTAGTAGGGGCTTCCAGTGTAGGGGTGACATAGATGAAAATGAAATCCTTAGAGTTTAGTTTTGCCATTATAACGGTCCTTTCTCCCGATTCTCCCTTTCTCCCAAAGTATGCCACGAGGTTACAAGATCAATACAAAATCTCCCCAGCTGTTGTCTGTCAGTCAGTCTCACTAAGCCAGCATCTCAAATGTTTGAGAGTCCTGGCTATTTTTATGAAGGTCCTTCTCCTAATACAGGAGTAGTATTGTGAGTACGCAGAATGTATTCTCACTGGGTTTCGTTTCAGCGTGCCTTTTATCCCGCACAGAATTTTTTTTACTAGGTGGTCATAATTCCTATTTTCAGCGTTGCTTTTCCTTTCCTAGTTTACTAATTAGCTATGTGGAATTGGTTTAGCTATCACGTGGTAATAGCATGGTGGGGAATCACAGTTGGCTCTGAAGGATCTCCGTAAGTATTTACAAGTTTAAATCTTACGTGGTTAGCATGAAGTAAAAACAGGGACTGCTTGGTGGAAAGGAGTCCTTTAATCCTTTAATGTGTGACTGGTTATTATCAGTCTAGGTTTACAACTAGGTGTCAGAGGAAAGACGAATAAAATTTGAGTAGAAAATTAACTTCTGTTCTTTATTTGTTTAAGATTTTCTTTGATGTGGACCATTTTTTAAAAGTCTTTATTGAATTTGTTACAACTCTTGCTTCTGTTTTATGTTTTGGTATTTTTGGCTGAGAGGCATGTGGGATCTTAGTTCCCCTACCAGGGATCCGGCCCATACCCCCTGCATGGAAGGCGAAGTCTTAACCACTGCACTTCCACGGAAGTCCCCTTCTGTTCTTAAACCTAATGGCTGCCTTCTCTGAACGACTGCAGATACAATTGCGGCACAATGCACAAAGAATGGGCTTATACTTTTTCCTGTCAAGGGTAGATAAGGTTCATCATATTTGTATCATTTTTACTGTTTGGCTCTTCAGTTCTTGTGTAATGGAGGTATGCATTTTTTCCTGGCATATCGAAATACAGAAAAGATTATTTTGCCTTAACAAATTTTTTTCAGCATGTTGATGGTAGATACGACACCATTTCTTTTTATCCAAGTATATTTTATTTATGTTGCTCACCTGCTATACATTTATTATTTTTTTTAATTTATAAGGTTGAATAAGATCGCCAGTTTGAATGTTTTAGTAAAGATTGTTTACCATCTTACTTTGGTTTCCCAAAGTTTTTTTGTTATTTTATTTTGCTTTTGGCAATTCACGAATCAAATGCCCCCATTTTGGAACTCCAAAGTATTTGTTGTTGATACCTATCCATACTCTACAAAATCTGCTTGATTCTTAGACTTTGATTCCATTACCCATTTTTACCTAACAAAGTAAAAGTAAGGTGGTTTTTTGGCAGAGGACCCTAGTCACGTTGTCTCTACTGAAATAGCACTTGAACGTTTGGAATTTTATGTCCTGCCATAATCCATTTGTACATGCACTATGTGTAAACTACGGTCTTCGAACTCTGGAAGAGTGAGCATGATGAAGTGGAAGGAGCCCTGCATTTGAAGTTAAACACATGGGAATTCTAGGTCTGTACATACTTCAGCTTACTTAACATTGTCTAGCAATGCACCCTTGATCAAGTATCCCTGGGTTATATAGTCTTTTGTATAAAATGAGGCTTTTGAAGTAGTTCAGTAGTCTACAGTATTTTTCTTTTTTGCGGTACGCGGGCCTCTCACTGTTGTGGCCTTTCCCATTGTGGAGCACAGGCTCCGGACGCGCAGGCTCAGCGGCCATGGCTCACGGGCCCAGGCGCTCCGAGGCATGTGGGATCCTCCCGGACCAGGGCACGAACCCGCGTCCCCTGCATCGGCAGGCGGACTCTCAACCAATGCGCCGCTAGAGAAGCCCTACAGTATTTTTTATCCCATGAAACTGTCCGCTTGGAAAAAATATTGGCTCACCGCAGAAGCAGTTTTATTAATTTAATTACATGAATTTTTTGGAGATTAATTTGCATATGGTAAAGTGCATCTTTTTTGACATACAGTTATGTGAGCTTTAGTAAATGCTAACAGTTGTGTAACCACTACCACTAGCATGGAGGGATAGAATAGTTCCACCATCGCCTTAATTTCTATCCTGCTCCTTTGCAGTCATCCTCTCTCCACACCCCCAGAACCTGGGGTGGTTTCTGTCCCCATAGTTTTGCCTTTTCCAGAATGTCCTAAACATAGAATCATACAGATACTGTGTAGAGTTTTCAGTTTGGCTTTTGTTTAGTGTGGAAGTAATTTTATTTTAAGTAATTTTTTTAATTAAAAAAATAATACATGGTCAGTGAGGGATTTTAGAAACTATAAGAAAAAAACAAGTTGCCTTGAGATAACAGCAGGTAACATTTTGGTGTATTTTTTTTCTTTCGGTGGTGGTTTTCAATATACAGGTGATTGTGATTTTCCTCCTCATTTTCTCCCCTTTTCTCTGCCCTGCCCTCCCCCAACACACTTGGCTGTAAATGCGAATTGCCATTGAAGAATTTCAAAGTCATGGGATTAGTAGCCAGTATCATCATGCTTGAGGCAGTGCGCTGTAGACATTGATTAAAGATTTTTAGTGGAACTGAAACTTAATTGCACAAAATAATTGGAACCGGTGAAGAAGATTCAACCCCAAAATAGGATAGTTTCTTTTTTCCCCCCAAATATTTACACAAATGATTGCATACTACTTTGTTCTGCATCCTGCGCTTTTTACTTAACAGTGGATCTATGGTAGTTAAAGACATAAAAACTTGATATACTCTTGTTTGAAGCCAGATAACTCTATAGGGGTTGGGAAGAATGGGAAATATGGTAATTAAGCACTTGATGGGGGATGTAATTTTATATAAAAATTTGCTTTTATAGCCTTTTTTATCTGGAGTGCGGCATCCTAGGGTTTATACTACTGGTCATTTAAGATGCCTTTTTTCTTTTTGTTTCCTTTTTAAAGCTTTCAGATGGAATTTACATTTTCTGGTGGTGTATTTACAGAGTTGTGTAACCATTACCACAATCTTATTTTAGAACATTTTCGTTAACCCCAAAAAAGCCTTGTGCCCATTTGGGGTCATTAAAGTGCTTTTTAACTGATGTATATGATTTTAAGCTTTGTAATAGCACTGCAGCTTGCATAGCCGTGAGCAGAATATAACTTTAAATAGAAGTTGAAAGTAAGTCACTCAATTTCTGGCTCTTGGAGAGGAAAGTTTCCATGGTGTTCCAGGGAAATGTGTGATCTCTAAGATGGCTGAATGAATTTTCAGGCCTTCTCTGTAGAAGATAGAATTACTTTTAGAGCTCCGTGATTTCTGGTTTTGACTGTGTAATTGATCAACTATAGAACATTTTAAAGTGCTATAATATTTGCAGAATTTCCTTTTTGCTTTAGTTTAATATTTAAATGAAATTTGAGAGTAATTAAATTATGCAATAGGTTTATTATTGCTAATGATGATGGTCTGTAGAGTTACAGTAAAGGAGTTGTGTTTTGAAAATGTACTGACTTCAAGTTAGTGTAGAATATTGTTGATTTCTTTGTGGAGATTAGTAATTGAGGAAAAGATGGTTGCTCTCTTACTGGCGATACTGTTAAGAACATACAGTTCCAGATGTTACGAAGCTATTGTTGTACATGTTTTAAAATGCAATTTTTTAAATATGTAAAAGAACTAGGATTTAACTAAGTGAAAAGGCCACTTAATTTTTAAAAATTAAATTTAAATACTTTTCCTGTGAAGTTTTGTTTTTGTATTACAAGAACAATGTGTAATTAATGAAAAATCTGAAAACACAAAAGCAAAGAAAGAAAACTGTAATCGCGGCACTGCCCTGGTGGCGCAGTGGTTAAGAATCCACCTGCCAATGCAGAGGACACGAGTTTGAGCCCTGGTCCAGGAAGATCCCACATGCCACGCCACAACTACTGAGCCTGCACTCTAGAGCCTGTGAGCCATAACTACTGAGCCCATGTGCCACAACTACTGAAGCCCACGCCTGTGCTCCGCAACAAGAGAAGCCACTGCAATGAGAAGACTGTGCGCCGCAACTAGAGAAAGCCCGCGTGCAGCAACGAAGACCCAGCA